GAGGGATTGTCATGGATGTCGGGGCGAGAGCGATAATTCCAGGACCGTCATTCACGTTCAACCTGTAAAGGCTCATAAAGCGCCCCTATAGAGAATTGGGGTTGGGGTACCATCGCTTCTTTGCGACTTTTGCGGCGTGCGCAGGTTTAAGACGACATATTTGGTATCCGATCCAACCCGATCTTTTATACTTTGCCAAAATAAAAAGGTATATAATTGTGTTTGGTGCGTTCAGGTCCCGGTCACAGCGATCCGACTTTGAAATTGTGCGACTTCCAGTGAAAAGTTGGATGTCATTCTGACTTGAGGTGCGACTTGCAAGATGGATGCCCAGATATCAATGAAAGTCGCTGCAGGCGCTACTCTAGAAATCGGTGCGGTCCGATCAGAATCGCACCGATAGGATCGCTTTCATTGCAGACAATAGGGTGCGACTTCCCATGCGATTTTCAGCTCGCATCACATGGCAAGTTGCGCCCGCTGTGCCTGGGTTGTAAAATCCATTGTATACTCCGGGTCACACCCATCCAACTTTGAAATCATGCGACGTCCATCAAAGTGGGATGATATTCCGGCTTGAGGTGCGACTTGCAAGACGCGGATATCTATGGAGGTCGCACCTGAAGTGACGCGCTGCTTTAGAAATCGCTGCGGCTCTGACCGAGTCGGAATCGCGCCAATAGGACCGCTTTTATTGCAGACAATAGAGGGCGACTTCCATGCGATTTGCACCGGGTGTGGCTGGTTGTGACATTCATTTTATTGTATTTTGTTTCCTGAAAATTTGCGTTTGATAAAATAACTTCGCAAATATTGCCGCATACAAAACGTTACCGCCATTTTATTCTCCAGGGTCTCTGCTGTCAGGATAGACTTTTTTCTTTTTTTTTTGGGGGGGGGGATGGGTAGAGTAAGGGGGGAGTGGGGAGAGTAGGGGGGGGGGGAGAGTAAGGGGGGGGGGTAGAGTAGGAGGGGAGGGGAGGTTGGGGGGGTGGGGTTACAGTGATTTGTAGCAAAGAAAAACAAAAATCTAATTTTAATGTGTGCAAAAAATGAAGGAATTGCGTGGGTCGGGAGGGGTAATAGGAGTATATATATATATACAGGTGAAGGTGGAGGAATGAGAATCTGGTGCATTCATTCATTCACTGATTTCAGTGCAGCAACTTAAAAGGTGACACTAATATATGAGACTCATTCCATGCAAAGCAAGATAGTTCCAGCCGTGATTTGTCATCATTGTGAGGATTATGGCTTACAGCTCATGAAAACCCCAAATCCACAATCTCAGAAAATGAGAATATTGTGAAAAGGTGGAATAATCTCGGCTCAAGGTGTCCCACTCTAATCAGCTCATTCAGCCATAACACCTGCAAAGGGTTCCTGAGCCTTTCAATGGTCTCTCAGTCTGGTTCAGTAGGAATCACAATCATGGGAAAGACTGCTGACCTGACACCATCACTGACACCCTCCATGAGGAGGGAAAGCCTCAAAAGGGAATTGCAGAAGAAGTTGGATGTTCCCAAAGTGCTGTATCAAAGCACATTAATAGAAAGTTATGTGGGAGGGAAAAGTGTGGAAGAAAAAGGTGCACAAGCAGCAGGGATGACCGCAGCCTGGAGAGGATTGTCAGGAAAAGGCCATTCAAAGTGTTGGGGACATTCACAAGGAGTGGACTGAGGCTGGAGTCAGTGCATCAAGAGCCACCACACACAGACGGATCCTGGACATGGGCTTCAAATGTCGTATTCCTCTTGTCAAGCCGCTCCTGAACAACAAACAACGTCAGAAGCGTCTTACCTGGGCTAAAGAAAAACAGACCTGGTCTGCTGCTCAGTGGTCCAAAGTCCTCTTTTCTGATGAGAGCAACTTTTGCATCTCATTTGGAAACCAAGGACCCCGAGTATGGAGGAAGAATGGAGAGGCACAAGGACCCCGAGTATGGAGGAAGAATGGAGAGGCCCAAGGACCCCGAGTATGGAGGAAGAATGGAGAGGCCCAAGGACCCCGAGTATGGAGGAAGAATGGAGAGGCACAAGGACCCCGAGTATGGAGGAAGAATGGAGAGGCACAAGGACCCCGAGTACGGAGGAAGAATGGAGAGGCCCAAGGACCCCGAGTATGGAGGAAGAATGGAGGCCCGAGGACCCCGAGTATGGAGGAAGAATGGAGAGGCCCAAGGACCCCGAGTATGGAGGAAGAATGGAGAGGCACACACTGCAAGATGCTTGAAGTCCAGTGTGAAGTTTCCACAGTCCGTGGTGATTTGGGGAGCCATGTCATCTGCTGGTGTTGGTCCTCTGTGCTTCATTAAGTCCAGGGTCACCGCAGCCGTCTACCAGGAGATTTTGGAGCACTTCATGCTTCCTTACACAGACCAGCTTTATGGGGATGCTGACTTCATTTTCCAGCAGGACTTGGCTCCGCCCACACTGCCAAAAGCACCAAAACCCGGTTCAATGACCGTGGGATGACTGTGCTTGATTGGCCAGCAAACTCGCCTGACCTGAACCCCATAGAGAGTCTATGGGGCATTGCCAAGAGAAAGATGAGAGACATGAGACCGAGCAATGCAGAAGAGCTGAAGGCCGCTATTGAAGCATCCTGGTCTTCCATAACACCTCAGCAGTGCCACAGGCTGATAGCTTCCATGCCACGCCGCATTGAGGCAGTAATTGCTGCAAAAGGGGCCCCAACCAAGTACTGAGTACATATGCAGCTTCTACTTTTCAGAGGTGCGATATTGTTCTATGTACAATCCGTGTTTTATTGATTGCATGGAATATTCTCATTTTCTGAGATTGTGGATTTGGGGTTTTCATGAGCTGGAAGCCAAAATCATCACAATGATGACAAATCACGGCTGGAACTATCTTGCTTTGCATGTAATGAGTCTCATATGTTAGTGTCACGTGTAGTATGTGGATACAATGTATATGAGGATCGGATGCGACATTCTCACCATAGATACACCGATGTATGAACGATCGCAGAGTCACATCGATCGGCGTCTCCTCTATATATTCCGGAGACATTTTTCCTGATACTTCGTATCGTTTTCTCTCCGACGTTCCGTTGTCCCCCCCCCCCCCCCCCCATTATAATGAATGGATGATCTATAATCGCAGATCCCGGCGGTGGGCGCACATCACCCCCCCCCCCCCCCCCCCCCATAGACTCCGGTGTCCTGGATCACCTCGGGGTCGGGCCCGGTCGGAGTGGCATTTCCCTTTTAAGATGGCGCAGAGTGAATGCTCAGGGACTGAATCAGCTTGCAGAGGCATTGAGGGGGCCGAGGGGGCGCCAGCGCTGTGTCAGGACGTGAATCACTGGGAGCATGCTGCGGAGACAGGAAGTGAGCGGAGGGGTCACTCTGGCACACCGTGTCCCCGGGAATCACATTTCCATTCCTGAGCGCCGAATGCCGCCTGACGCACCGATATCGCTTCTCATTTCATTCTAATGAGCGATCGGATTCCTCATCAGCCAGTGTATGGGGAGAGGGGGGTGTGAGGGGCCCCTGTGCGTCTGGGGGGGGGCCACACAGCAGGATTAGATATTCCTGGGGGGTATGCCGCACTCAGCGCCACATAAAGACCAATCTGCTTCTATTTTCCTGCCCTGGTGCCCCCTACCCCATCATCAATAGCCACCCCTCCCCCATCATCAACTTTGGAATATATAAATAAAAGCTTTCCATTTTTATTGCATCGTCACTGCGTCTCTGTGCTTCTCTATGCAATGCCATCATCATCATGTCATCACTGCGTCTCTGTGCTTCTCTATGCAATGCCATCATCATCATGTCATCACTGGGTCTCTGTGCTTCTCTATGCAATGCCATCATCATCATGTCATCACTGCGTCTCTGTGCTTCTCTATGCAATGCCATCATCATCATGTCATCACTGCGTCTCTGTGCTTCTCTATGCAATGCCATCATCATCATGTCATCACTGGGTCTCTGTGCTTCTCTATGCACTGCCATCATCATCATGTCATCACTGGGTCTCTGTGCTTCTCTATGCAATGCCATCATCATCATGTCATCACTGGGTCTCTGTGCTTCTCTATACAATGGTGTCATCACTGGGTCTCTGTGTTAGTAAATGCAATGCAGGCAGATCATGGTGGGAGGGGCTGGCAGGGGGCTGTACATAGCTTGCTGAAAACATCCCAGCACCCCGCCCCGCCTCACTCCCAAGAGCCTTCAGTGCTGATACAAGCAGTGGGAGGAGTTATGCAAATATCAGAATACCTTGATGGGTGTCAGTCTGGAGGAGTGGGCGGTCCTAGGCAGGCTGCATTTGCATAGGTAACGCCCCCAGGTGATGCTCAGTTTCCATGATTGGAAGAACAGAATTACATGGATGAAGGGGGTGGGATATGGTGGGATATGGAGGAAAGGGGCAGGGCCAAAGACAGTCAGGATATGAAGGAAAGGGGTGGGGCCAAGCACTGTGGAAAGAGGAGGAAAGAGCTAGATGATGTTGGGTGTACTCCAGCCAGGAAAGGAGGCGGAGTTGTATTTGACTGGCTGGGTTTGCTAAAGCACTGCGTATCAGAAACAAACCGCCTGTGGATTGGTTGTGTGTGGAGTGGGGAAGATCGAATGTTCTCAGGCCGTAGTCTCTGCACATTGAATGTTTATGTGGAGAATACCTCATTATGGCCACCAGATGGCACTGACTATCACAGGAAATAATCCTGCAGTTGGGCTCCGCCTAGTGGCCATAATGAGGAATTCTCCACATAAACATTCGATGTGCAGAGACTACGGCCTGAGAACGTTCTATCTCCACACACAACCAATCGAGGAGCTATGCACATCCAGCGGCTACAACGAGGAATCGATCTTCTGATCTCCTTCCATTGGCCAGACGGTGTCATGAGGAATGGGGTGACTCCTGGCCCCGGATTGTGCAGAACCTGCCCATGCCCCCACTGGGGGCCACAACTCCATATCAGCCGGAGAGCGAAGAAAATGCCGAACTATTTCATTCCAGATACAGATACACTATATTGTCCCAAGTATTGGCCCCGCCCTCCCTCCCAATCATGTGATTCAGGTGTTCCAATCCCCTCCCAATCATGTGATTCAGGTGTTCCAATCCCCTCCATATCACGTGATTCAGGTGTTCCAATCCCCTCCCAATCATGTGATTCAGGTGTTCCAATCCCCTCCATATCACGTGATTCAGGTGTTCCAATCCCCTCCCAATCATGTGATTCAGGTGTTCCAATCCCCTCCATATCACGTGATTCAGGTGTTCCAATCCCCTCCATATCACGTGATTCAGGTGTCCCAATCCCCTCCATATCATGTGATTCAGGTGTTCCAATCCCCTCCAATCATGTGATTCAGGTGTTCCAATCCCCTCCCCATCATGTGACTCAGGTGCTCCAATCCCCTCAATATCATGTGATTCAGGTGTTCCAATCCCCTCCAATCATGTGATTCAGGTGTTCCAATCCCCTCCATATCATGTGATTCAGGTGTTCCAATCCCCTCCATATCATGTGATTCAGGTGTCCCAATCCCCTCCCAATCATGTGATTCAGGTGTCCCAATCCCCTCCATATCATGTGATCCGGGCGTCCCAATCCCCTCCACATCATGTGATTCAGGTGTTCCAATCCCCTCCATATCATGTGATTCAGGTGTTCCAATACCCTCCATATCATGTGATTCAGGTGTTCCAATCCCCTCCCAATCATGTGATTCAGGTGCTCCAATCCCCTCCATGGACACAGGTGTATACAATCACGCCCCTAGGCATGCAGACGGCTTCTACAAACATTGGTGAAAGAATGGGTCGCTCTCAGGAGCTCAGTGACTCCAAGCGTGGTCCCGTGATAGGTGGCCACCTGGGCAATAAGTCCATCCGTGACATTTCCTGGCTACTAAATATTCCACGCTCAGCTGTTAGTGGGATTATAACAAAGTGGAAGCCACTGGGAACAACAGCCACTCAGCCACCAAGTGGTAGGCCACGTCACATGACAGGGCGGGGTCAGCGCATGCTGAAGCACACAGTGCGCAGAAGTCGCCAACTGTCTGCAGAGTCAATAGCTAAAGACCTCCAAACTTGGTGTGGCCTTCAGATGAGCCCAACAACAGTGTGTAGAGAGCTTCATGGAATGGGTTTCCATGGCCGAGCAGCTGCATCCAAGCCTTCCATCACCAAGTGCAATGCAAAGCGTCGTATGCCGTGGTGTAAAGCACGCCGCCACTGGACTCTAGAGCAGGGGAGACGTGTTCTCTGGAGGGACCAATCACGTTTCCAAATGGTCAGTCCGCCCCTGGTTTGAACACTGCTGATTGTCATTCTCTATTCCTTGGATATCTTTTTATATCCCTTTCCTGCTTTATACAGTTCAATACCTTTTCCTGCAGATCTTTTGCTTTCCTCAGGACTCAGAATCCGGACCCGTCAGTGCAGCGCTGGATGAAAGGTGCAAGAGTCTGTCAGGAGTCCAGGAACTCAGCGACCTTTTATACACACTAATGACAAACAGATCACAGGATGGTTACCTTTAATAGCCATTCAGACCCGTTTGTGTCAACTTGTGTGCATGTTATCAGGTCAAAATCACCAGGATATGTACTTCTGATCGGGTCATTCGGGTCATTCGGGTCATTCGGGTCGTTCGGGTCATTCGGGTCATTCGGGTCATTCGGGTCGTTTCTGTTGTCATTTATGATATTAAAGGAGGAAACACCGAGATGGATAATAAATGGCTTCAGCCAAACACTGACCACGAGTGAGAGAAAAGCTTTTGTGTTCTCATTCATATTCTCTGAAAAATGGGCAAGAAATCAGAAATTCTGCCAACTGTATATACTATCCCCCCAGATATGGGTCCCCCCCCCGCCAGGGTATGGAAACTTATGAGCACAACTGTATAAATAAAATAAAAAAACCTATTGGTGATTAACAGGGGACAACTCATGGGGCCCCCGGGCAATAGGGAATCATGGGGCCCCTGTGTCCTTGCCCAAACTCAAAAAAGCCTATGAAAAAGGTACCAGGGGCATCTCATGGGGCCCCCTACTGACCCCGGGCCCTCGGGCAGTGCCTGAGTTTCCAAATGGTCAGTCCGCCCCTGGTGATTAAATACCACCAAGAGAAAGCTCTATTTCTGTAACATAAATAAATAAATTTTATATATATATATATATATATATATATATATATATATAATACAATTTTTATTTTTTTATATAAATATATATTTTTATATATAATTAAAATTAAATTTAAAAAAAAAACCGTTGGTGATTAAATACCACCAAGAGAAAGCTAATTTTCTGTGAAACAAATTCTATAAACAAATAATATAGATACAAATATATAAATGTCGTTTGGGTGCTTCATGACCGAGTGATTACCAGTTAAATTAGCGCAGTGATGAATAGCAAAAAAAAAAAAAGTCGCGGTCATGAAGGGGATAAACCCTTCCGGAGGCCATATCTCGTGTTTATTAAATTGTGAAGAATTATGTCGATCTTTACCTGCATTGAACGTGGAGTTTCACACCTGACACCCAATGACATCATCGCCTTTTTTCAGACCTCGACTTGTACCTTCCTGCCCCGTGATGCACCAATGACTAAACCCGGCTTTTTATAACTTGGATTTTTTTATAGCAAGACAAGGCGTGTCGCCGCATTCGCACCGGAATAATTTGGGGCATTTTCTGATTCATTCCAGGAATGTTCTGAGCGAAACGGCGGAAGTTGGAGAAATTTCATGTCAAGCCTTCGGGATAAAAGGATCAAATGGCAACAAGTACATTCAAGTTTAATGTGATCCTTCCGACTATTTCTAGACGTGTCGGCTAATAGCGTGTGACGTGTGGCGTGTGACGGCTATTTATACTTCCAAATATTGAGATAATTGTGAGCTCCGGGCGGCGGGTCGGGCGACGCATCCTCACCTCGGGCGGCGGGGGTCGGGCGACGCATCCTCACCTCGGGCGGCGGGGTCGGGTGACGCATCCTCACCTCGGGCGGCGGGGTCGGGCGACGCATCCTCACCTCGGACAGTGGGGTCGGGCGACGCATCCTCACCTGGGGCGGCGGGGTCGGGCGACGTATCCTCACCTCGGGCGACGGGGTCGGGCGAAGCATCCTCACCTCGGGCGGCGGGGTCGGGCAACGCCTCCTCACCTCCGGGCGGCGGGGTCGGGTGACACATCCTCACCTCGGGCGGCGGGGTCGGGCGACGCATCCTCACCTCGGGCGGCGGGGTCGGGTGACGCATCCTCACCTCGGGCGGCGGGGTCGGGTGACGCATCCTCACCTCGGGCGGCGGGGTCGGGCGACGCATCCTCACCTCGGACAGTGGGGTCGGGCGACGCATCCTCACCTGGGGCGGCGGGGTCGGGCGACGTATCCTCACCTCGGGCGACGGGGTCGGGCGAAGCATCCTCACCTCGGGCGGCGTTGTCGGGCAACGCCTCCTCACCTCGGGCGGCGGGGTCGGGTGACGCATCCTCACCTCGGGCGGCGGGGTCGGGCGACGCATCCTCACCTCGGGCGGCGGGGTCGGGCGACGCATCCTCACCTCGGATGGCGGGGTCGGGCGACGCATCCTCACCTCGGGCGGCGGGGGTCGGGCGATGCATCCTCACCTCGGACGGCGGGGGTCGGGCGACGCATCCTCACCTGGGGCGGCGGGGTCGGGCGACGCATCCTCACCTGGGGCGGCGGGGTCGGGCGACGCATCCTCACCTGGGGCGGCGGGGTCGGGCAAAGCATCCTCACCTCGAGCGACGGGGTCGGGCGAAGCATCCTCCTCACCTCGGGCGACGGGGTCGGGCGAAGCATCCTCACTTCGGGCGGCGGGGTCGGGCGACGCTTCCTCACCTCGGGCGGCGGGGTCGGGTGACGCATCCTCACCTCGGGCGGCGGGGTCGGGCGAAGCATCCTCACCTCGGGCGACGGGGTCGGGCGAAGCATCCTCACTTCGGGCGGCGGGGTCGGGCGACGCCTCCTCACCTCGGGCGGCGGGGTCGGGTGACGCATCCTCACCTCAGGCGGTGGGGTCGGGCGACGCATCCTCACCTCAGGAGATGTGGGGATTCCGCTTCACCGAGCAAAGAGAAGGTGCCGGGACGACTTTACCGATTGGAAAGTGGAGATGAGAGCAAGTCAAACGTTTTGCTTTGTTGAAATTTTGGCAAAAGAAGTCAACGAACAAAATCAAAAAATATAAAACTACGGATAGATAAGATGACATACTCCATGCAGTCCCTACATACAGGAAGTTATAGTCCGCCATGTGTCAATACTAATGCAGGCCATAGACGGTTCGTTTATCGGACAATTTTTTGTCCGAAAGAATAATTGGCCGATTTTCGCACTGTTAGTGAGGCAATGACATCGGCCGATTTTCATGGTTCCTCCTCATTTCTTTTATCGGTCATGCTGGAAAATTTGCGAAAAACGCCCGATTTTCATCATTGGTAGCAACAGAACGATCGATGTTTAGTTTTTCGCACGAAAAATTGGCCAATAAACGAAACGTCTATGGCCTGCATAAATCACAAATAATAGAAGTTCAGAAACGTGTGAGAGGAAATGAAAGTCTTCGCAATCCCAATATTGCTGAAGGTGTCACCACATCCATCCACCAACAAGTGACACCGTTTAGGGAGCGTCTTACTGGATAATATAGTAGGGCGTGGCTACGACGTGATGCCATCATGCCCATGGACCGGAGCCTGGAGCACGGTGCAGTTGGGTCAGCATGCTTAGGGAGCCTGTTATTGGATAATATAGTAGGGCGTGGCTACGACGTGACGCCATCACGCTCATCGACCGGAGCCTGGAGCCAGTCGATGGCATCCCCTCGTAGCCACACTCTGCTATATTATCCGGTAAGAGGCTCACTAAGCAGGCTGAGCCAAGTGCAAGGGGCTCCAGGCTCCAGTCGACGGGCGTGATGGCGTCACGTTGTACCCATGCCCTACTATATTATCCAATAAGAAGCTCCCTAATCGTTGTCACGTGGTGGTAGATGTACGTTCTAACAGGAAGTAGGACTGTGGGGACACCTTCAGCAATATTGGGATTGGGAAAGGATTTTCTCTTCATCTCACGTTTCTGCCCTTCTGTTATTTGTGATTTAGTATTGATACATGGCGGACTATAACTTCCTGTATGTAGGGACTGCATGGAGTATGTCATCCAATATACCTGTAGTTTTAGATTTGGATTTATAGCTACTTTTTTATATTGTTTATGTTTTAGCTATCGGTGTCACAATTGCCTGGTGGCTGCCGCATCGAATATTAACACTTCAGTGCCGAGTTTTATATAATTTCTAAAAGAAGTTATTGGTCATTGCTCTGAGGAAGGGGCTTTCCCTCCTCCACCCCCCCCCCCCCTCGAATTCGAGATAATGCAGCAAAAGATGCCGAGCAACCCACAAACCTTCACCAGTCAATGGTAGTGAGATCTTCCACCAAATGATCCACGTGTCCCAATATCTCCGTGCACCAGGATCTTCACCAGCTGGGCACCTCCCATCAGCAGGATCTTCACCAACTGGGCACCTCCCATCAACAGGATCTTCACCAACTGGACACCTCCCATGAACAGGATCTTCTGCAACTGGGCACCTCCTATGAGCAGGATCTTCACCAACTAGACACCTCCCATGAACAGGATCTTCACCAACTGGGCACCACCCATCAAAAGGATCTTCACCAACTGGGCT